ATGTGTGAGTTGTTCGAAGTTTACTGAGAAATATCTGATTCTATGGAAGATAAGGATCAAACTCTTTGTTATTCTAAAAAATATCAATAGAAAACTGTATATACATAATAAAAATAGAAAACATTCCTTAGCAGAAATGACCAACATTCCTCAGGAAAGAGTTCATCTTACATGAACACCCACAGATAACTGAGCTAATTTCAAATAAAAAAAAAAAAGCAAACAAACAATATGTATGTTAATAAAAAAAAACATCATCAACAAATCAAGCCATTCCAATGGAGCAATCTCGAAAGTACCACCTTCACCCGGTGAGGAGTGGCGTTGCCAATCCTGACGTAACTGAGTGAGCTGCCCTTAGCATGTCACGTTAGACAGGTGATATCACCTCGCTGGTATTCTGACAAAGATGTTTAAACTGAATCTAGTCATTAGGAAGCAGTTGACTAGACCATACCCTGCACAGCACTGTAGAAAACACTGGCCTACAACCTTCAAAAACCACAGATTAACAAATGATAAGTCGAAGGCAGGAGATCGCTGCCACTTCAAGGAGTTCCAAGCTTCACTGCTCTGCCTTTGGGCAAAGGTCAAGTGTGAAGCATCCAAAGAGTCAACAGGACTCAGTTAGAGGTGGACTGACTGCCTGGGTTGTTGCTGAAAAGAAACAAAAATAAGGAAGAGAAAACTTTGCAAAAATGTAAAAACCATAGGCAGGAGATGGAAATATATGAGGTCATATATTAGTGTGACGGTTCTTACGTATAGCATGACTACATTACTAAATTTGAGAAATATAAAGTTAAATGTCATGGAATAACATGCCATCTCTGTCTACAGTGCAAATGCTTTTAAAGGTGTATAAAGAGAAAATGGAAGCCAAGAGCTAATTGTGCGAGAATGCGAACAGCCAAATCCTCATGCCTGTGTTTGGGGAGCTACTGTTCTCTTCTCTCAATGTTCTTTAACTTAACGCTCCTTTCCAGTTAAGAACAACTCAGATTGCAAGGCCCTCATGGTGAGGCATGCCTCCTTACCTCAGTTAACACTTGTGGTGACTCTGGGGATCAATACTAGCAAGGCCTGCGTTCTACAGAAGAAGAAACCACAGCCTCCGGGGTCAAACCTAGTGTGCAAGCCTGCATTCATGTTGCTGTGAGGTTTCTGTCTTTAGTGTTCTGTCTTGTTTTAAAGCTCATTTATTATCAGCGTGTGTGTGTGTGTGTGTGTGTGTGTGTGTGTGTGTGTGTGTGTGTGTGTTTGTGTTGGGGAGGGCACATGTGCCACAGGACACTCGTGGAGCTCAGAGGACAACTTGATGGAAATAGTTCTCTCCATCCACCAGCAACCAAACTCAGGTCAGCAAGCCTGTAGGACAAGCACTTGGTGTGCCCAGCCATCTTGCCAGCCCTGGAGTTGGGGTTTTATGTTGCTGTTCTTTAAGGTGAGCCTTGTGTAGTTCAGTCTGGCCTTAAATTCACTATGGGGATGAAGATGACTCTGATCTTCCTGTCTCCACCTCCCAAGACCTACAATTATAGATGTGTACCACCTCACTTCCTGGGGGCTGAGATCTGAACCTAAAATATTTAGGTTAGGATTCATTATCATATCCTACTGCTCTACCCTTCAAATAAATAATACATCTAACTAGCAGAGTAAGCATAGTAGTCACCTCCCCATGATTGTTCAGATCTGTGTCTTTGTGAGTCCAGCACAGCTATATTCTGGTTAGCTTTTTCTCCAGGGCTAGAAATAAGATTAAGAAGCCAAAGAACGAACCGGGCTCAGGAATTGGAGTGGGCTTCCATAAAATTTTGTAAACATAGAATCTAAAAATACTATGTTAGGCTATGTGTATTATTTTTAAGTAGAAAAAATAAGAACTGTGTAGACATCAATTTATTTATACTGTATACCAAATAAATCAAAGAAAGCCGGACAAAGTGCAAGTGCTTAGAGGTGTAGTCTGTGTTGAGGATACTATGGTAAACTGGTGCATTTCTGCAGCAGGTAGTCCCAAAGGACCCCCTGACACAGAGGAAATTATATCATTAGTCAATTAATCAGTTTTCTTTCACGAGAGCACAATGGGATACCCTCTTAAACTCAAAGGAGTAGCGGCTCCCCAAGAGCAGCTCAGAAAGAGGGAAGTCACAGAATGGAAGAAAGGCAGGCGCGGAAAGCTCTGGAGAACAGACAGAAACAGACAAAGGCAGCTGCCTGAAAAGAAAGTGAGAAATGGAAAGGGAAATGTCAGGAATCAAAGGTTAAAAGAGAAAAGACCAGCCAAAAGAAGTCTCTTACGAAATAAAAAGGACCAGTGAAGATTCAGAAATTCTAACTGGAGCTGAAGCTTGAAAATTCGAGGCAACAAAAAAGGCTGTGATGGGAAGCCATTTACTCAGTCACTCCTTTCTGCTCCCTCACTTAACCCCTAAAATGTGGAAGGCACTTTACAGAGCTGTGAGGAACAGAAAATGCGAGTAAGACAGGACCTCCAAACTCAAGAAACTCAGGCATCCAAACGTTTTCACTCCTGCATCTTCTTACTTTCTAAATGTGATTTTAATTATTGCCACACACCTTTGCTCATATTCTGAGCTAAGAAATTACAGCCTTTACATTCTCTACAACAGCAGGTGATTTTTAATGGCAGCTGCCATGGCGAATGACTACACTCATTATGGAATGAAAACATGTTTACATTTCTGATATGCTGACAGCATGTAATGCATCGTTGTTAAGTAGTGCTTGGTATATACAGATTCTTCCATATATGGAAATATACATTTTCCATTCTACAGAGGAAGTGAATGACAGGAATATGGAAAGGATTTTAAAAGATAATTAAGGCATCCAAGATGGCAGAGTCTGTTAGACTCTCCAGGGAATAAACTTGGGCCCTCAGACAACCACCACTGAAAGAGGTGAATGACTCCTGAAAATCTCTAATATAATAAAGAAGCAAATTAGGAAACTTTACACAGCAGAATGGGACAAATGCAGTCTTCCCCAGGGGAACTGGCAATGTTTGGGGCACTCCTGTTCCTAGTGAGGAGTAACCAGGGCCGTGCTTTAGACAGAAAGCCTAAGAGACGCATTACCCGGCTCTTGGGAACAGACATTTGGAAATGGGACAGAAAGAATGGGACAGGGATATGAAATGTGCATGCAACAGAGGAAGGAGGTTCTGTGAGGGAAACCCTTCTTGGCACTCTACTAAAGTGGCCACAGGACACTGTTTTTTAAAGACATCAGCAGTGTCAGCAGCTCAAGAACCACATAGTCAAGAAACTCAGAGAAAGTATTATAGGCCTTTGTGTGAAACCAGGTAACAAGAATTTCTCTAGACCAGTGATTCTCAACCTGTGGATCCTGATAATTCATAACAGTAGCAAAATTAAGTTATGATGTAGCAATGAAAATAATTTTATGGTGGCAGTCACCACAACATGAAGAACTGTATTAAAAGGGTCACAGTGTTAGGAAGGTTGAGAACCACTGCTCTAGACTGAGGGCAAGAAACTTTGCATCTGAACTACATGCAGGATTTAGTGACAGTAGAAACCTAGCTGGAGCCAGAGTCTATAGGAAACAGGGACTTCAGCTCAGCTTACTGGAATGTCTCTTCTGCTCCTTAATTGAAATGTTACCCAGATTCTAAATCAAAATAAAGCCAATGTAGATCTTTAAATGAAATTTGTTGTCATTTTGTATTTTGACACTATTTAAATTTGTTAGAGAAAGTTAGATATTTATCTTAAAAGAAAGCGAATATTTCATTTCCAAAAGATCAGGAAAGCAATGTGAAACATTTGTCTTGTACATGGTTCATCAGAATGGCAAAGAAAATCTCAGTTATACCAGGAAACCACCAGCTCTTGGGCAGAAGAACAGCCAGCAGTGGGAAGACAAATTCATTCTGTGTTTTTAGAAAGACGCTGTTAGTTGTCAATGATTCAGGACCCAGTCAAAGTCTGTCACCACCCCAAGTCACCTCCCTCCTTAGATGAAGAGGACAATAAAATGTATTGCAATTTATTCATCAAAAACTACTGAGGCAATCTTCTCTTAAAGAAGGTTCTGGAAGGTCTCTCAGCACACCTTTTACATGATATTCATTTACCAAAGATGTACTGAAAGTGTCACTTGAGTTCTTCTCTCTCTCTCTCTCTCCCTCTCTCTCTCTCTCCCTCTCTCTCTCTCCCCCTCTCTCTCTCCCTCTCTTTCTCTCCCTTCTTCCCTCCTTTCTCTTTTCTCCCTCCTTCCTTCCTCCGTCTCTTCCTCCTCTGTCTGTCCCTCTCTCTCTCCCCTACCACCTTCACAAGACTTGAAAACACAGTCAAGTTCACTGCAAAGGACTCTAAGAACTAGGCAAACATCCTATCAGAGGTCTGGTAACTCAGGTCTTCAGAAATGTAGGTCACACTCAGAGTGGACTTCCTGGCTTTGACCCCACAGACTACCACCATTTCCAACCCTGCCAGTTGATGTAACCTTCCAGAGAACACAGAAGACCCTTCAAAGCCTACAGAGAAGACATGTCCTGGAGTCTAATTTCAAACCTGGTCTCATATCAGAGTCTTTCAAAATCAGCTTTTAAAGGTTATTTTGTGATGTCCTGATAAAGACCTCCAGCACTAGTGGCTTCTGTCTGATGGTGCCACAGAGTGAACCAGTAAGTCTGAAACAGAGGGAGAGGTGACACTATCTTTTTTACAGGTGGCAATATAGTGAAACAAGAAAGAACAATTAAAATTTAAAAGAATAATCTTTATTTATTCTAGTAATGCTATTCCTTAGATCAGCACTTTTTTAAAAAAAATCACTGTAAAATGCTGACAGTAATAATATGAAGGTGTCTACAAAAAAATTAAACCTTCTAACTAGTGGCTTCAAATGTTGCTTCCACCTTTACTTTAAACACACACATGTGCAGACACACATTCAGACCCACTGTATGACATCACTGAATCACTACTCTTGCTTCTAGAATAAGAACAAACAAATAGAATAAGAAGGAAGCCCACACCCCAGTCACCCGGAGGCCCGGAGTTCAAGAGGACTAGGTTTCTGTTTGGCAGTATTGGCAAAGGAAACACGGCCAAACAGGTATCTGCCTGGACTATGGAATTGAATCAGACTTGAAATTGAATTCTCATTTACCCATTGAGTAACATTGGCTAGTAACTCAATATCCTTGAACCCATTTCCTCCTCTGTAAACTGGAAAAGCTACTATTATAGAGACTAGATGAGGAAATAAATCTGTATCAGCCAGCTCTTGATCACTGTGACTAACACCCAAAGGAACAGTCTTAAAGGAGTGATTTACTTCAGCTCGAGGTAGCAAAGGTATTGGTTCATCTTTGGATCCACTGCTTTAGGTCCAAGGTATGGCTCAGCATCATGCTGAAGGGCATGGTTGAGCACAGCAGTCCACCTCACAGCAGTCAAGAACCAAAGAAAGATGGGCAAGGGTCGGGACAAGACACAACCTTTAAGGACACCCATGGCCTGCTTACGTCAGTGGGATGCCCATCATCTTCCATTAATGTCATAAAATTATGAATTCATAAGTGAATTAATCCCATAATTAGGGTAGAATCTTCATGATCCAATCATCTTTCAAAGACTAGACTAATTTAAAACCAGACTTTGACACATGCAATTTTTAGAGATCATTTTGTATACAAATTGTAACAGTATACAAGGACAGCGAGTGCCAGAAGATTCCACACCAAATATGTCAATATGAATTCAGAGTTATTTTGAACTTGTGGTGATTTAAAAGGAGTATATAGAAGAAAAACTCCTGTCTTCCCTCTGTTCTCATAAAGGTAGTATATGAACTCATAAAAGGACCCTCCCTATCCACGAGATAAGAGGAACTGGATACTCCCAGGCCTGATGTGTGCTTAAACAAGATGGATGTCTGGTGATAGTCATTCATCACGACAATTAACAACAGCAACTACTTGTACATAGAAGTGCTTGTTCTGGGATAAATCCTTCTCCCTGTACCATCCTAGATGTGTCAACTGGGGCCCCGTAAGTTAGAGTGACACATGACAGATCAACTACAGAAAAGCAAACCTTTATTAACATGTGCATTGTGTATACATGCTGGGAGTAGCCAGTAATAAGCAATGCCAACAGTGCAGAATTGTACTTGGCTTTGCACAGTTCTTAAAAGAGAACTACAGTTGTCAGGGAAATGACAAAACAAAGGAGCAGGTCTTTGTTTCTGGGTGGGAAATGGAAATGTTAGGAAGATAGAGATAAAGGGTACTTGGTAAAGTTTGCAATGGAGATTCTTCTAGCGTCTCTGTCAGCTGGTAAAGGTTTGAACATTCTCTAAGGGGAAACTAGGGGCCAGGATAATAACCTTCAAATCTCCATTTCCCCTAGTGACCTGCTTCTGCCAGACAGACCGAGTTCCTAAAGGCTCACCCTCCAGCTCCCACAAACAGCACCAGCCTGGGAAACAAATGTTCCAAGCATGAGGTGGGAAGATTTTGCATTCAAGCCAGGACAGCATCCTTTCTAAGTGGGCGGGGCTCTGCTGGGTGACTCACTGCTGCCCCACAAGGTATCAGCTGCACAGAGCAGCCGGAACTGACAGAGGCAGGTTGGCTTCCTCCACTGGCCTTGCTAGCCTTCTCTTTATGTCTGTGTGTTCTGGGAGACTTTTATCCAAGTGACCTACTTCCTGCAACATGGTCACACCTCTTTAGAGGATGGCTCCATGCACTCGGAGAGTGAAATCACAAGTCTCCACCTGAAAATGTAGTCTCAGACACAGCAACAGGGCCTTTCAGCCATTTCCCATTGATTAAGCACATCTGGAGGTCAAAGAGCAGGCAAGGTGGCTGGCTTTAATTCCAGAATGTGGGAGTATAGCAGGAATCTTAAAAGTTCTTATTAATAAAAATCAAACCTGAAGCCAGGTATTGGGGTGAATGCTGGAGGATCAGAGAGGCAGAACAGGCCACAGCTTCCTCATCTTGCCAATTCCTCAGCTGATCCTATTTCCTTAGACTGGAAGCCTCTGTGTCCTCATCCAAATGGATCTCAACTGAATTGCTTCTTGAAAGCCTGAAAGCTTAACCAGCTCTAGTTCCTTTCCTCACGCCTTAAATACCTTTCTGCTTTCTGCCATTACTTCTTGGGATTAAAGGCTCACTTCTTGGGATTAAAGGCATGTGTCACCATGCCTGGCTGTTTTCAGTGTGACTTTAAACTCACAGAGATTCAGATGGATCTCTGCCTCCCAAGTGATAGGATTAAAGGTATGTGCACCACCATTTTCTGGCCTTTATATCTAGTGGCTGTTCCATTCTCTGACCCCAGATAAGTTTACTAGGGTACACAATATTTAGGAGAACACAATACCACCACATAGGAGACAGAGGCAGGTAGATCTCTGTGAGTTCCAGGATGACTGTGTACATGAGTTCCAGTCTGGGCAACTCAATCAAAGCTACATGGTGAGACCTTGCCTCAAGAAAAAAAAAAAAAAAAAAAAAAACGGAAAGAAAGAAAGCCAGTCAAAAGGAGGTGTCTTTTGCAGACCAAGTGTGACAGGGTTACCTGTTACTTTTTTCACTTTCTTCTTTCTGTTCTCTTGAGTGGCTAAGCAGTCATTTGGTTTCAATTACACGGCTACATGCAAGTCTCCAATGGGAACATGAGAAAATTTAAAGTATGTTCTCTCCCCTCAAGGAACTTAAAATAATACAATCAGTGAAATGTGGCATACATATCCTGAAATTCTAATAACAAGAAAATACTACACTAATAAAATATTTTGGTAGCAGTGCAAGATAATAATGGAAATTATGTCCTAAGGCTATGAACCATCCACTTAATTCATTGTGCACACATTAACTACTCCCCAAGTTCAGAGGAGAGAATAGAAGAGAAGGGGAAGGTCCATGGAAGAAGAGGGTCATGAAGTCGGAAAGGCTTTGTACAGTAAGAGGAGGAGGGTGGACTTCCACAGGAGACCCAATGAGACGCACATGAAGTACTCCAGAGAGCCAAGGAGCCAGAGTGGGATCATAGGGACACACGGTCAGGAATAAGGATCCCTGCATGTTCTTAATGATGATTATAAATTCAATGTACCTCAAAGGATTTCCTGCCTCATAACATCTCCTTTATTTCTCTCTTTAGATATGGCCAGAAGCCATTTGTGGAATCCCCACCAGCAATATAAGCTAGTATTAATAATGAAGGATCTCTCACTAACCTTATAAATTTTACTATACCTGGTGGTGGAACAGGAACACAAACAAACGCTGTGTTGCAGTTGTCAAATGGCAGCTTGTAAACTTCACCTTCCCTGTTCAGGACTAGCGCTTTTGGTGTTGTTAAGCAGCAACTTGTAAATTTCCCTCTCCCTTAGAAAAACAGCATTAGAATGGAAGGTGCCGCTTAGAAGAAACATAAATTTCAGTCTCCACCACAGGAAAACAAACTCTGATTACACTACATAGTTCACACACCTCAGTGTGCTTTAGGACAGATCTGTGTGTAATGAGTTGCTTTTGTAGCAGCAGAGAATGAAATTCACAAGTTGTTATTTAACTTTTTTACAAGTGTATTTTTCTCCTGACTTTTGCCACCCACCTAACTAAGAACACAATATGAGCAGTAGGGTTTATGAACATCACCACACAGCTCTTCCTGTATAGTGATTAACAGAATTTTAAGCTTTGTTCTCAGGGGCTTGTGGTGCCACACACAATAGTAGAGAGGGATACGGCTTTGGGCTGTACATTTCAAACCACTGCTGTTTACGTAGCTGGGGGTATGATAGGCTTTTAAAAACATTGATAATACATAACATTACTAGCATTTAATTTCTGTTTGTTGTTGAAAAGAGTCCTTGATTTCTAGCATTTTCATAAGTGCCCCCATTAGAAGGTTACAGCCGGTGAGTTTGGTAATTTTGCCATTTTTTCAAACAAGTTTTTAAAGAGTTATTCTGAACATCAAGCATGGAGATTGTGGAACAAAGTGCTGAGCTGTATTCTGCAGGAACATTATGAAGGAAGGGGAGGTTCAACCTCAATAAAAATGTAAGGATATCCTAATAAAAGATATCCTACCAGAAGATGTGAAATCTCATACCAAGTACAATTCTCAGAACAAAACACAGCTACAACACAGCCTAGAAAGAATGAAGGACCTTTGTACAGCAGAGAACAAAAGGACAGACATATTAGTGCTTACAGTTGGTTACCTAACAGTTTTCAAAAAAGTCATATGTATATGAAAGAAGTAAAAATACAGAAATGCACTGGAAATGGGTCTCCCACTGCTGTTATGATCCAATGTACAGTCTTCAATCTGCACATATGTAAGCATACTCTATATATTCTTAAAGTCTGTGATCACAAACAATAGTATCTGTAGTCCATTTTTAACAGTATCACAGAGATGGTTCTACATATCGACACTCTTTGTGATAGCTTACCTGTTCTAGAGACTGTAAAACATGGATATAAAATTATATACTCAGTGAGTCCCCTATTGCTTGGACAATTATGCTGTGTTCAATCATTTGCTGGTTTGTAAATGCAATGCCATAATAAATATTTATTGTGCATAGATCCTTATGAACATACATGCCAATATTTCTAAGGCAAATGACAACAAAATGCAATAGGTAGGTCAAAGTATATCTGTATCTCAACATTTACAGGAAACTGAATTTCCAAAGAAAACATATAGATGAATGTTCTCTTTCACACTGCCAATATACTTGATACTAAAAGAATCCCCAAATTATCACAGGTTCATCATCCATTTCCCAATAACTGATGCCTTCATTCTTTAGTAGGATGAGGGCAAGATCATTTTATTTTGCTAGTGAGCATGAGAATTAATAATAATTATAATTAACATTTAGTATTATTGCTACAAGTTCAAGGCCATTCCATGATGCTCACCACACAGCATTCTCACTGTTCTGTAACCTTAACTGGTCAGACACATGTTTAATTTGCACACTTCCTTAGAACACAGATTATTTGCATTCTGCACACATCTTCAAAAAACCATTCACAAGTACATATTTCATGACTGAATATTTTTACATAACATCAGCTGGAGCCAATCGTTCCAGCATTCTTGCCAAGTGTCACAACCTGCTCTATTATATCAATAAGCAGCTTCCATTAGTCATTTTCTCCCCATGGTGACGACAGCTATAATAGCACACAGCAGTCTGATGAAGTTTGTAATACGAAGTGGAGATGAGGGTATTAAAAATTAGGCAAAATTAGAGTAGCTCACAGAAATATCCTACCTCCTCAGTAGTCATTCAGAAGGCCGATAACATTTCAGACACTGAGGAGTAAATACAGAAATTCAACTGCTTTTGAGAACATAGGAACACATTCTTGCCCCAGAGAGAACTCCGGGTCCCACTGACTAACTGGTCATTAAGTGCCATCTTAAGTCCAAAGAAGAATAAACTGAAAGTGTAAGTCTTAAATAGAATAGTCAAATGAAAATAAATGTCCATGATAAATGCTACTTTGAATGCGTTGTACACCAATAAATACATTAGAAGGCATAATATCAGGGACTTTCCCTCAAGATCTGTGTGCAGCCTGACCTTTTCCTGGGGGAGCTTAAAGCCAGCTCACTTTGCTGGCTTACAGTCAGTGACGACCAATGGCTTGCCCTTCTCCTTGTCTCTGTCAGTCCTTTCTATACACAAGAACTAAAGTAAAATTTTAAAATTATAAATCAGATCACATCATTCGTTTCCCTCTAGGCTTCCAGTGGTTTCTATTGCACTTAAAAATGGCTGGCCAGGCCCTCCAAAATACAGCCCTGTCAGCTACGTACTCTGCTGCTTCCTTCTCCTCCCCATTTTGGCTTCTATCACGCAAGATGTCAGCTCAGATCCTCTGGTCTTGCTGGTGCCACTTGCTGGAAGTCACCAGCTTCCTAGGCACCCCTCCTTTACTTCATGCAGACCTGTCCCCAGACGTTACCTCACTAGAGAGAGATTCATGGACCACTCAAAGAGATAAGCAAAAATGCCTTATAAATGCATGCTGGTCTATTTCCCTATACCACGTAGCTTTACCTAGCACTTTGCTACTGCTATATAAAATATGTATTATTTATTGTATATGATAATCGTGTGTACCATTGTGTATTATGTATATCATGTATGTTATTTATTATTTATGGAAATTATTTATATAAAATATACATGTACTTTTATATAATATATATTATATGTATCAATTATCAACATCAATTTTCAGAATGTAATTTCCATGAAGACAGAAAGTAAGGATATAAACTGTGCATCCTAAACATATATTAAAAAAATACTATTTCTGTGAATTATATCTCTCACTGAGGAAATAGCATTGATCTGACTTGACTCAAATTCATTCAATTCAGCATTTAATGGGTTCTTATTAGATGTGGCATTCTAGAAGGATAGGTTGCAGTATCTACTTCTCTCTCAGTGTGGAGATAGAAACTTAAATGCAATTTCAAGATGAATGATTAAAATGACAGTTTAAAACATTAATAATGAGGGGCAACGAGGAGGATAGGCAATGCCAGGAATCCTGAAAGGGACTGTGTAGGCTGAGAGAGTAAAGGAAAAAGAAGACTCGGACCCAAACAAGACATTTAATTAATCACCCACTCTAAGGCTTGGAGAACGTCAAGGAAGAGGGGACAGAAAGCGAGGGATCCAGAAGCGAGGGAGAAAGCTAGGAAACTCAGCTTCCAGGCATGGCACAGCCTGTCATTCATAGCATCTCTGGTCACCTGCATTGGGAAACTGTCGGAACACAGTCCACAAATGGAATCGTGCAAGGGGAATTCTGAGTGCTTGTGAGAAAACTTCAAGAAAACGAGGTAAGAGTCTTCTGACCTCAGTTTCTTCAAAGCACAGGATTGTTCTTGGAATGAGGTGTAGCAGACAGGAGTGAGTTTGCTTCAGCTGTTGTCACTCATGTGCCTCCATGGAAACCATGCTTCTGCCGTGTGCAGTTTGCCCTTGTGATTGAACGCCTTGCTCATGCTCAAGATTCTTCTTAACCCTCACAGAACAAACTGCCTGATATGCTGAATCAAGTTGGCTATTGCATGAAACTTTAGTCTGCCTCATTTTTAGGCTCTACTCTGCTAGGTTCACACTGCCAACTAGAGTGATACATAGGAAATAACAGGGTGAAAAGTAAGAGAATTCAGCATGCATTATAGATAGATATACAATCGTCAAGAACAAATGTAGTTTATAAAGGGAGAGAGAGACAGATGAAGATGATCTGGACAGACAACCAAGAGCGGGAAGGCACTCCAGGTGAGAGCACAGTTGGTACCAAACCAGACTACACCAGTGTTCCCCAAATCCCAGGCACAGAGTCCTGGTGCCATTTGGTCCTCTGAACCAACAGAATAAATTTCTTTCAGTTTCTGTTCTTGTTTATTCTTTCTAAAATTCATTGAGAAAGCAGAAATTCAGCAGTATTTATTTCTAAAACACCTCTGTAACACCTGGTGACCTGCATCACCTCATTTATTTCTGTGTTTCTGTCTAAAGTTTTCCTCTTCTATTTATGTAAAGATTTTTTCTTTTTATGAAATAACATATGATTTTCCTTGTATACAAACTTATACAAATAAAATCCAGTAGATTGTTTCCAAGCAAGACATTCGATCAATCATGGGTCTGGTGGCTGGAACACTTTGCCTAGACACAGAGCCCACTGGTAAAGTCATTGGAGAATGGCACTAAGTCAAATTTCTTGGAAACATGCCCTTTGCCTGTGAATATGCTATGCTTCTTATTTTTAGGATGGCAAGAATTATGACAGTCTTCAGTTTCATCGTTCAACTCCATTAGAAAGCTTAAAGACAAAGGTGAAAGATGTAAATGCTTCCTACAAAACAGAAAGGGCAAAAGCACAACCAGTTTCTAGGGTTTTGCTGTTGTACTTGTTTGATAAAAGGTGGTGAGTTGATTACCAGGTGGGCAAGAAACAAACGACACACAGATCATCCAGATGTGATAATTTATGGATTATCTGCAAAGGTGTGGCTATTGTGTGTGGGGGGGTGGGGGGGGACTGAATGCAATTTCTGGGGACAAGTCATCCAGCAGAGAAACTCCACAGCACAGGACAGGATGGAGGGATCAATGGGACGACACTTAGCCAACAAAAAGGGCTGTTTTCAAATATTCAAAGTACTTGCTGGGTATTAATCCACTAATTGCTAGTCAGTAGCTATATGCTTCCAACAGACAATCTAGGTCACATAGCCTAAAGTGAAACCCTAGCTACCATTCAAAAGGTCTGTGCTTCTGAGGAACACTGAACTTGCCTTTGTCAATAAAATAGGTGACAGTCACAGAGTCCACTATAGAGTGGATGTGGAGATGAAATGGGTACAGCATGTCAACCACTTAGCACAGTGTTTGTCTACAATAAACACCAGTGTCTGGGAATATGAGGAGAGCCCATCAGCATCAAAACAGTCAAGATAAATCTGTGGAGAAAAGCTTACACCTGTGGGACATCTCCATCTAAATTCTGTTAATTCTTCATCTGACTTGACAAGATGATTTATTGATGAACTATCTCAAAGGAATTCCAAAGAGAAAGCATTGTCTTGGCTGGTGGCGGCAATGCTGGTGGCAGTATAGAGGGAAAGAACTCCCTGTGAAATAACACCTGAAGCAAGTGAGACCAACATGAAACACCTCATCTCAGGAAAGATGAAGAGAGCTCGAAGCTGAATCACTCACCAGGTTAAGGCCCAGGAGGACAAGGGTAGACTGCAGGGCCAAGCCATCCTGCCACCACCAGCAGAAGAGCGATCTGGGTGTGGAGACTTTGGTCAGGGACAGAGAACTTTTCCCACAGACTCTGGAGTGTGACTGGCACTGATGAGAAGGGCAAGAAGAGGCCACTGGAGGCTTTCAATCAGGGAAGGGCATGACACCATGATGGCTTGATGGTAATTATAAAACTATTGCGGAGGTGGAGCTGGAGCGGAGGTGGCCGAGTGCTCGCCAAACATGCACAAAGGCCTGGGTTCCATCCCCAGCACTGCGGGAATCCACTGGGGTGGCTGTGCAAGGCTGCAGTTCCAGAATTCAAGTGGTGGAAGCTTGAGGTTCAGAAGTTTAAGGTTGTCTTTGTCAAGGCCAGTTTGAGCTACATATGACAGAAGAAGGCAATCACTACATGTAGGCTCCTGAGTCAGACTGAACAAGAAAAACCGAGACTCAAACATCAGTTTTCTTATTTTGTTATTGAAATTGTTTATACAATGTTGCTCACAAATTTTCTGGGGGAAGACCATATAAACACATGTTCATTCAATAACTCATTCATTCAAGATGTTTATTTAGTGCCTAAATATATACTAAAACATACAGGAACTTTTTTTTTTAATATCAAGAAAAGAAATGTTACAAGAAACACTGTAACAAACACAAAGACTTGAAGTTGGAATACAGCACAGTGGTAAAGGATTTGTTTATCATGTAGAAGACCTGGATTTGATTTCCAGCATCACATATACACCATCTGAGATTTGAAAAGCAAAGGACATTTCTGAGAGGTAAAAGTAAAATTTCAATATGCTAACACATACTCCAGGTTGGTTGTGGTGTACGATATGTGTGTGGTGGTGACTCATTCCTTTTTTCCACTAGAGTTGATGGTAAAAGCCCCAGCCGCAGTGGTATTTATTGGTGCTGGTGATATGATAGTGAATGCAAAAATATTTAAAATATTACAATAATGATTTTTCTCATTATATCTAATGCTATGCCAGTTATCAAGGGGGAGGCAGAGAACTGAAGTATAAGGCCTAAATTTAAGGAGGCTTGGAGAGATAATCAAATATTTTTAATTAAAATTTTTTTCTATTGAGAATAGATAGCCTTGAAAGTGTGTGTAAACTAAATATATTATATGTAAGTATATTAGTGACATTATAGTTTTTTAAATGACTTTATAAATGCCAGATAGTTTTGAATGTCAAATTCTCCCATGCCCTTAAAAAAAAAAGATATTATCACTGTGGATTGTCCAGTGGATTCCAGACCAGAACAGTCCACTTAACAGTAAAACCTTCATTCCTTGTACTTAGCAGTGATACCTCAACTGGTCAGACTCCCTTTGTCTTCTGACTCCTGTGTGCTGTAAAACAAGCAAGACACACGTGTCCATTTGGGGTATTTTGAGAAAGGGGGAAACATGTTCCAAAGCAACACTAACTTTCCCAACTCAGCCCCTGATCACACCTGGGCATTACAATGCAATAATGGTAATTTATTAATGCAGCTGGCCAGCCTCTGCTCACCAGAGAAAGCACAGGAAAATAAATGAGGCTTGCACACCAAGCAGAGGCAAACTTCTCCAGGCGCTGCCTGCAGCAGGGAGATACCTGCTAATAAAACACGGTTTGCAACTCCATTCATTATGCAGGAAGCCAGCCTCAAAAGGAATTCTGCAGAGGTGAAGTTCTTAAAGTGGAAATAAATAAATAAGCTCACCTGCCATGGTGGGGTCTCTGAGAATGGCTTGGAATGACTATCCACAGATAATCCACTGGGATGTGGTAAAGGCTCCTCAGATGTCAAGGGAGGTAATTATTCCTGACTTGCAGGGCCACATTTGCTGGATAAATTGGCCTCCTCCACTCATCCTTCTATGTGGGCACCTGATACAGAAACTGTTTAAAGCACATGAAATTTCTCTCTGAAATCATTTCTTTCTTATCATAACAGAGAAACAAAAATGAGCCCCAGGTGCTTGGCAAAGTAGTCTGATATTGGATGGGGACCCATTATCCTTGACCTTCACATCTTTACCTCTTCGGACTCATGGAGAATCCCCAGAAACTACTTCAGGTAAAGTGATACAGTGTCTTGGAGGTGCCTGCTTCTAAGAGAAAGCCACTGTTTCTACATTATAAAAAAATTGCATGAGTTGAAGTTAGTGATTTCTTTCTTTTTCTTTTTAAGTTTAAATTGGCCTGTTATCTGCTCAAAAGTTTAATCTACAAATGCTAGAGGCTCAGGTTATCTGGCCATGTTATCAACATGTTATTCATTAGCCATTTTTTTGGCACCCAACATGGGGACCAAATTTCCACACCAGGCCTGAGAACGCTGGGGTGGGGGAGATACAGCTCCTTTAGGAGGGGCTGCTGTTCAGCAGAGCACTTGAACAGTGGACATGCTAAGTAGAAACACCTGCCACAGTGCAGGCACCAACTTCCCAGAGCTTCAGAGGTTAAACACAGCTCCCAGTTAAAGGCAGGGATAGGCCAGGCCTGTAGGCTTAAGGCTCAGCTCTCACAGACCTGAGGAGGGGGTGGAGGGCCTAGCTGGTGCTTAGTAGTTAAAAGTTTGGCTCATGTGGTCAGGTGCACAGTAAAACAGGTTCAGACCAAAAATCCTTTAAACAAGTTACAGTGTGTGTAGGTGCTTAAGAAAGAAAATAAAATGGGTATAGATAGTTATAGGAAACAATAAGTAGTTTAAAAATAATTAGTAAAGTCTTTAAAGAAGGAGGAAAGTAACAGAAAAAAATAAGTCATGTAAAGATGGGAAATACTCAGGGAATCTGAATCCTGTATGGTGCTTTGTTGACTTTGAATTTTAAAAGCTGATGAGCAAATGGCAGCTGCTGAGAGACATGGGATTGTAAAAGGAGTTACTGAATTAAACCAGCCTAGATACATCAGGGATGTTGTGGAATAGTGATGTGTTACATTTGTTTATGTTGTGGAATATTACTTTAACTATGTAAAGATACGTTATAGTTGTTTCACCTTGTCTGCCTAGGGCACCTGATTGTTCTAATAAAATGTTGTACAGCCAATAGCTAGGCTGTAGAAGGATAGGTGAGGCTGGCAGGCAGAGAGAATAAGTAGGGGGAGGAAATTAGGCATCAAAGAACTTTCATATGGAGTTTTCTTTCATTGTGGCAAAGCTAGCCATTTGGACAAGAAATGGCCCTTGCCTCAACAGCTGACAGTGTACTCTACAAACTGAACAAGCAGGACATGAAGGAAAAAGACTGCCAAACTCTGTCAAGACAAGGTGGGACAGTCCTTCAAAATTCCTGCTTCATATAAAAGTCTGTCACATATTCTAGGGCCATAGGCCAAAGATTGATGCTCCAGTGTTGCGGAGGAACCCTGGGTGACTGTCCAGGCAGCAAGATGTCTCTATCATTTCTATAGTTTTGGAAGGTGCATGCTCTGAAATTCCTGTTTATTCAGGCAATATTTATCCTTCTTGGGTCTCTGATGGAGTTGAAGATGAGATAGTTATAGTTATACTTTTCTTTGTTATCAAATTCAGAAAAGAAATTCCCTAAAGTGATATAAGAGGATAAGGTTGAGAGACATAAAAGTTTAAATTGTTTATCTAAGAAAATGTTTTGAGGTCTAAGAAGATAGTTTTGGGTTGGTAATACAAGTTAGAATAGAAAGTGAATTAGGTACAAAACTTTGGACTCAACAAGATAGGATAGATAATAGAGTATTTTCTCTGAATTTGCCAAATACAAATGGACTGGGCATGGTGAATGCAATCCTTACTTGATAATTATTCTTATTGCATATAGTTTTACTGTGTTAGAGTTAAAACCTTTCCTTTCTATTTAGACAAAAAGAGGGAAACAAATGTTAGGGGACATTTGATCACACTGTGAACCCTGAGTTTGCATTTGGATTAATTAAATAAAATTAACCTTGGGTCAGGAGGCTGCATTAGCAACTATTTGACAGAAAGTAATCACAGAGCACCAGAGGTCATCCAGGAGAGATAGAGAGACACAGGAAGTAGTAGGGTGGAGTTTGGAGTGGCAAAGTTTTGTGTGGTTTGGCAAAGCAGAAGCACGGGTCTTCCATAAATGCCAACAGGAAAAGAGGGTTAATGAGTTGCTACTCAGCCTCTGAATTTTTATCAGTCTTTGAATCTTGAGCCTTACTTATAAATAGAGCAATAGAGATTTGGTTAAAGCTACCTTTAGCAGCAGTGAGCGGCAGGGCCAGCACATAGACGAGCAGCATTCCCATCTGGCTGTGGCCTGAGCAGCCAGTCCCCTGCTGGAGAAGCAGGCCAGTTACTGCTAAGTTGCAAAGGCTGGCTGAGATAGCAGCAGATTAGGGTGCAGCCACTGTGCCAAAGTTAAAACAACGCATTTCCATTTCTTTCCAGGCTCTCCTCTTCAATTACCAAGACAACCTTAGCATTTCTCCATCTTGCATTCTTTAGAAAACAATTCTGACAGGTGACTGCCACCAGCTATCACTTCTGAAGCCAGCAATGAAATGCCAGAGGAGGAACAGTTAATTACAATTGTAGACTCCATTTTGCATCCTTTCATAGTCAATAAATATACAATTAAAGATGCCTCTCAGCACACGATGCAGCAGGTATAAGGTACATTCTTGAATAACATTTGGTTGTTAAAAATCAAAACCTATCAATGTTAACTGAGTACTTGGTAAACTTCTTGCTTCATTGATTGTAAAACTCATTTAGCTCAGCTATCACAGTGAATTTAATATTGAGATCTATTAAGAAGGTGTTTTCAAGAAGTAAAAGGCTGGGGAAATAGCTACTGGTAACGTATCTGCTGTGCCAACATGGGGACATGGGTTGGATCCCCAGAACCTACATTAAGAAAGTCAGGCATGGTAGTGTGGACTTGTAATCTCAGTACCATGGAGATAAAGATAGGTGGATTTCTGGGGCTTATTGCCATGTAGCCTAGCCTAATTGATGAGCCTCTGGCATGAATGACCATAGATCAAGAAACAAAATGGATGGCTTCTGAGTAATGGCACCCAAGGATAAAGTTTGGCTTCCATATACAAGAATAGAGGATGTGTACCAAAACACAGAAACAAAGAAGCACACACACACACACACACACACACACACACACACACA